GGAATTGGGTTTCTGTCATCCAGTAGAACATTGTAGGCATGTAAGGAGGCCCCCAGGGAAGTCCTTTTCTCAAGGGCAGGTCTCTGAGAGACTCCAGAGAGACATCGGAGCAGAGGTTTAGGGACCGAGGGTGGTGGTCTAGCCACTTCCTCATTCACTTTCTCAGATCACAATTTCCTCATCTGAACTATGGGGCTAATACTATCTCCTTTTCAGGATTGTCTGAGGATTGAGTAAAAGACACGTATGTACCTCTCTACACCCAGTCAAATGATTTCCTTTCTTCTCCGAATGTCATTAGTTCATAGTTGTCTGCTCCTCTGGTAGCTTCCTGCCCCCAGTTTCCACTAGCCTCTCAAATTAGCACTTGACTATGTGTTTTGTGAACCGCTTTCATCCCTGCTAACACTGTGTTCTTGTTTAATTCCTCCGAGTGGCGCTCCTCTGAGTGTCTCCCTGCTAAGGAGAGTTAGGTTCTTATAGATCTCTGGGATTGTAAGCATTTTTGTTGCTTCCCTAAAGACTGTAAAAGAACTGGCCTCCTTCCATAGGGAAACTAAAGAAAAACTATTCAACTGACTATGCAGATGCTTCAAAGTGATTTAGAACAATGGTTTCACAGCCCAACTTTCTGGAGAGAAAGTCATCTTTACGACAGGTAAAGGCCTGACTCATTTATCCAGAAGATAAAGTGACCTGTTCTCTGCTGGATGGGGACTTCGGTTTCCTTATTTACAAAGAACAAGGTCAGAGCTGAACACGCTGTCTTCCAAATAGAAAGCAAATTTGTCGAGGGTGTATTTCACTGAAAGCCAATGTATAAATTACATAGGGGGGAAAAAAGAATTATAGGGTCTGCAATTGTGTTCCAGGGTACAAAGGGACATTATCCCTCCTACCCCCACTCTCTCCTGGCATAATTCAGGAGGAAGTGACACCTTGGGGAGTCAAGATTGGGTTTTCTTGTAGGGCAAGAAAGACATTTTTCTAGGGGAGGGAAAGGTAACCTGAGAGTGTGGGAGAGGTAAGGATGGTTTCTGCAGTTAACCATGCTGCATACGAAGCCAAGGGTAGAAGCAGTTCTTTTTTTTATCATTAAGTACTTTTATACACATCCATATTTCAGCATATCAGAGCAGAGGCAGCTTTAGCATTTCTCAGCTGACTTAGGGTATCGCTTGAATTGGAACAACAAGAAGGACACTTACGTTGACCTCGTTTTGCATGCCGGCCGCATCAATGGCTGTGGAGTTGGTTCTGACTCATGGCAACCCCATGCATGTCAGAGAAGGGTTGCTTTTTTGGAAGTAGGGAACTAAGCCTTTGAGTGGACTTGAACCTCCAACCTTTCAACCAGCAGTCAAGTGGTAATCACTTGAAAATCCCAGAGACTTTATTTTGGGACCAAGTTTATATTAATTTGTCAGGTGAAGACCTGAGTCGAAAGTTTTGTCGATTGACATAATCTGTGATGCTGAGCCTCTTTGTACGCTTGTTCTTCTATGAATGGACAATGAAGTCTCCAGAGATTCACAGGAAGAGGAAGCAGAAACTTCTCCCCTTGAGGTCCATGTTAGTCCTTTCTCATTTGATGGTCAA